AGTTAATAATACACTGCTTGGGACATGGCAAAATGTCCAGGGTGCTTGAAGATTTTGTTTTGGTCTAATGTCCTTGAAGCACCCAAAACAACCAGCCTGAGCACAGGCTGTCATATGCCTCTACATCCTCAAAAATTGGGTTATAGAGTTAATGAGTAAGAATGATAACTCTGTTTATTAATGATGTCAAAACTTGAGGGAAAATGATTGGAAATGATAACTCTGTTCTGTCATAGTTTATTAATGATGACTAAAAGATGAGCAAAAGGAAGTGAAACACATGACTAAAAACAAAAATGATATGATCTATGTTTTGGAACATCATGAATGTATCCCTGCTAACTAAACTGTGTATAAATAAAGAAACACTCTGGCTGCTAGTCAGTCAGGCTGCAAGATTCTCCCAACCACCATGGCCTGGCTCACTTCCTTCTCCCGCCGATTCCTTACACCCTTCGTAGGACCCATCCACTGCCGGGGAACAGCTCCAGGCATTGAATCCTAGCAGATCTAGGAGTAGGTAAGTATTCCAAGAGGCAATTTCTACAGATACTGATGCACAAGGCAGGGCCCCAACATCTGTGCCTCAGCAGTGTTCCTAAGGAGAGTCTCTTGCCAAATTCTATACCACTGAGTTATCTCGGAGCTTAAGTGACTCTTCAGATCAGAGTCCCCATGAAGAGTCACAAGGGCCATTTCATATGACAAGAACCCTGTATTTTTACTGCAAATATAGCCAAAGTCCCCAGTCAAGACTCCTGAGCCATTACATCACCACAAAGAGGTATCCATCTGTCCTGGCTAGTTTTATGACAAGTTGACACAAACCAGAGTCATCAGAGAAGGAGCCTCAGTTGAGGAAATGCCTTCATAAGATTCAGTTGTAAGGCATTCTCTTAGTAAGTGATCAATGGGGAGGGCCCAGGAACTGTGAGTGGGGCTACCCCTGGGTTGATGATCCTGGCTTTTATAAGAACAAGGCTGAGTAAGCTATGATGAGCAAGCCAATAAACAGCACCCCTCCATGGCCTTTGCATCAGCTCCTGCCTCCAGGTTCCTGCCCTGTTTGAGTTCCTGTCCTGACTTCCTTCAGTGTTGAACAGTGATGTAGAAGTATAAGCCAATTAAACCCTTTCCTCCCCAACTTGCTTATTTGTCATGATGTTTCTTCACAGCAATAGAAACTAACTAAGACACGATCTATAAATTTTATTTAATGGGCACATGAAACATGTTTCTATGGTCATTAATTATGTGTAATTTTCTGTTCATTTGTTTTTGTTTTGTTTTGAAGTAGAGTCTTTTATGGCTCAGGGTAGCCTCAAACATACTATCTACCTGAAGACGACCTTGAACTACTGATGTTTCCACCTCTCAAGAGATAATACTGTAAGCATGCACAACCACACCAAGTTCATTCATTTGTTTTAACCTTAGAAGTAACATAGGTTTTTATAACATATTTTAGAAACATGCCTTTAAATTAGAATCAGTACTTATCTTATATACCAGATAATGGCTGATGATGGATTCATTTGGTAGATGATAGGGTACGTTCTCACTGTGATGATGAAGATGTAAAAACATAAAGAATATGGTTTTCTAAGACAAATTTTCCTTTTTAGGTTAAAGAAATTTGATTTATTGCCTCTTGTAATTATTACCAATGAGATGAACTAACATGCTTAGTTAATAACTTAGTAACATTACCTTGGAGCTTAGACCCTTTTACTTGTAATTTGGTTTGTTACTATGTTGTGAACTTTAAAAGAAAATTAACCGTTGCTTATTTACAGCAAAACAGAAATCAAACAGAAAAAAGTCTTCATTAGATACTGCATACAATAAGTCCCTTTCTATATTTGTAATTATGTTTTTAAAAATTTGACAATTCCATATAAGTATATAATACATTTCAGCCATTCTCACTCACTCCCACCTTTCTGTTTTAATCTTCCAACCCCTTCAAATGCCCCTCTTTACAAGTCCCTTTCACATATCCTTATCTTTGCATTTTGTCTTGTGACCCAAAGAGTTTAACCAGAGCTGTCTGTGTGACAACGAGGTTCCTCTTTGGGTTCCTGAGCGCTGTGTGCACCCTGTGGCTGCTGCTGAATCCCAACATGGCAGAGACCTATTGGGCCTTTGTGAAGAACTCTCCCCTTCTGATGCCAGTGGGGATTCAAAGCCCAATACAGCCAGCTTTGGCAAGCATTAACCTAAGCCTAGGAACTGTAGTCATACAGTTGGATTCTTCAGAAGGTAATGTATGGTAACTGCTTTTTCAAGTTTTTTGAGAACATGTTACCCAGGCATCTTGGTGATTAAAGGGTAACCCTGACATTTGGTAGTATGGTCACTGACCTCCATTTGTTAACAGTACCATGCCAGCTAAGCCTTTTCATCTTCACAATCCTCTTCAAGCTGGTGTAGTACCTAACTTTTTAGTAATGGCTCTGTGCAACATTTATGGCCTCCTGAAAATCATATAGCCCCCTTTTGAAGATACCTTTAAATTTGTGAGCCTGAAATGATGATACCATTAGTTCTGCTCCTTGTGTGCTGTCTCTGTTTTTCTTTGTGGTTCTTAATTGTTGTTTACAGAGCTGCCAGCTTAAGTCATGCTGGAATCAAGATATATGGGCCTTGGTGGTTCGTGTTCTTGGAGTTGTGTTCATACTAGTGGACCGTGGCAGTAGACACAGATGGTGCTCACATGCTCCAGAAGAGAATTTGACTTCACTGCAGCTGTTGTTGCTACTACAGCGATAGCAGCCACTGTTGCTACTGTTTCTGGTATTGCTATTTCACAGTTAGTTACTACAGCTAGTGCAGTGGAGACCCTGGCGGCAAAATTAGCTACCACAGTTAATTATGATGAATTTAATTCAGCAGTAATATACATTTCAATTGGCTTGAAAGTTATACAATTTATAAAATTCAAGTTCTACTTACTTTTGGGATACCATCTTATGAGGACTCCAGTTTGCTGTAAGGCTTGTTAAGGAAGGGAATGGCTCAGTTGCCTTTAGCCTACTGGCTATGGGTGGGTTAGGACTTCTGTTGTTCTTTTCTGTGTCGAACGCACAGATTGCAAGCCCAGTGCCACTTTGAGATCTTTGGCAGCAGTTAACCTTACAGCTCAGATATAGTTGAGCCTGTATGATAATGAGTATTCTGTGACAGGTAATGACTGGGGGCACTCACCAACCTAAGACAGAGAGCCTGTGTGGCCTGGGCAGGTGTCTCCTTGACAGGTAAGGTGATGTGCTGGCATCCAATGTAACCTAAGACAGAAGCTCATTTTTCTTTTTTGTAAGGGGGAAATCTGTTGGGCTCTGCTCCCCCCCTCCTGCCCCGTTCCTTTGGTAGCTGTTGCCTTGCTTGCTCACCTTGATCAGGTGTCCTCCCTATGATGACTCCCTGCCAGTTTGCTTCCTCCTAAAACAGCTTACTGGAGGTTCCTTGTTTGTGTATCCTGCACTTGGTGTAAGCAGCTAGGATACAAGAATATAAAACATCTGTAGCAAACTTCTGCCCTCCAGGTTTCTCCCACTGTGCTGTAAGCCTGTATTTAAGGCCTCCTCTCTCCTTCAATAAAAGGCATTCAGCATTCTGCTGAGACGAATGACCCACTGTCTTGTCTCTGTTTTTAATCCTCAGGCCTTCATTCAGACATGGTGAACAGGTAGTAGTGTGGGCGCTACAATTTTCCCCTCTCTTTTAAGCCTACATACATTTTTACACACACTGTAAACTGTTTAGGGTTTATCCCATCTGAATCTGTCTTATTGTGAGTTTATTGCTTTAAATTGCAGAGTGGTTAGGACAGAGAAGCAGCAGCCTTGGCTGCTGACTCCAAAAACCTCAGCTTTTCAACATGACAGTGGTACATTTACTGCCAGCTCTGGGGGAACCATGCTCACCGATGACTCTGTGAAGCAGTGGTTCTATGCTTTCATCCAGCAGTGTGTAGCCCAAAAACCTCTTATTTCTTTTCCTTTTTTTTTTTTTTTTTTTAAAAGAT